CCCCCCTCCCTCGTTGCATCTGGTTCCAGGCCTTATCTCTGCTGATGCTAAGTCAAATGCTTTGCGCAATGATCTCCAACCAGTGTGCCATGTTACGAAGACACGACGTGCACACGTTGACTGGTCGAAGGGAAAGTCAAGTACATGATGGAGCGTGATAGCCAGAATCAGACCCCCTTTCTTTCTCTCAGGCGCGAATGAAACCTCCGAGCCGTCGTACCGGGTAGTCGTTGTGTTGGTGGAGATTAATCGATGTCGCTGTATTCTGTTGCTGCTCGAGTATGTGCATACAGCCCCTAGGATGTATTCCTGGTTTTTGCGGTGATAGTGATCGCTTATCGTTGGTATTGTATAGGGCTTCTGGATATATGAGAGCACTTTCGAATGCTAGCCAACTTCAAGCAGCAGTCCAGCGCATGCATGGTAATAGGCGCTCAGCATGACGTTCGATCCGATCCAACAAGCGGACGCACCCACGATACTGCGTGTTGGTATGTTGTAGTTGAGGAGGGCAACACTGCATGGCGCGCTCATGCTCCTCTCTGAAGCAAAAAGGATGGATGTTATCCTTCGAACTGGGAGGGGCGGGAGGGGAGCTTGTCGACCCATTCCTCCATCGTGGTGCCCCTCATCAGATCCCGGAACTTGTAGAATGTGAACGGTCTACCCCCGAGCATCCTTTTCTGCTTATCAAATTCGATCTTGTCGTGCTCAAACAGCTCAATCCTCGTCTGTTCTAGGAAATCAGGCAAATGATCACCCCAATCACAGCCAGTCTGATTTGGCCCATTGTTTGCTTTGATAACGCGATAGCTGGGGACTTCCCTGATGCCAAAAGCTCGGCTTGCTCTCCTCAGCGCTGAGCATGGTTCCTCGTCATCTAGGTCGTTTCCAGCATCACTCGCCCACTCGCGTATGGCTGCATATGTGGTGTAGGAGCCCTGGGGAATGAATGTCGCCAAGGTCAGTATGAACTTGTCCATTGGCCAAAGCTTGCTTGAGTTTGAGATCCGGGCCCGGACTTCTTGCTTCTCGGTAGACTGTACATCTTTCATTTCGGCTTCGCATTGCTTTTTGTAGGCCTCGATAGCTGAGATAGCATCTTTTCGGAAGCTCTGCAAGCGATCGTGGTTGCTGTCGAGTGGTGGTTTCTCTAGATAAGCCTTTGTATATGGGTAGGCTTCTATTAGTTGAGGTGTAGTCCTAAGTCGCCCTAACAGGACAAGCTGGTGTGGCAGAGTAGCGAATGCTTTATCGCTAATAAATTCGATTGGCGCAAACGGATCATGAGGCGGTTGGCCGGCTGTCAAACGAGCTCTCTCCTCGTCTTCTTGATGCGAAATCAACTCCACTACCCTGGAAGTTTGCGACCAATCGAATTGGGCGTTGGCGACATGCTTCGTGGGTTGATCGATGGCCATTTGGTCTTGATCTCCGAGATTGGGTGGATCGCGGTTTGGGGCATCATCCGAAGTAAGCAGATCATCAAAGCCATGTCCTTGCATCATGGTCCAACAATGCTGTTCTATCTCTAGCAACATTGCATTGCGGACGCGTTTCCTCTCTTCGATAAATCCTTTTTGAATCTTGTGTAGGCGCGTGATCTGATCTCGATGATAGGCAAGCGCCTTATGAACGATGTCGGTCCTCGGGAGCTGGACGAGCCTCTGAACTCGTTTGAGATTGAATTCGATTTTTATCTTGACGCGCTCTTCGCGATCGATCGTGGTCTCCCGCCTAGTCTCCTGTCTGATCTTCTTCTTGTTTGGCATGGTCGGACGATGTGTTGATGTTGTTGAACGCGACGGCTGGGAGGTGTCCAGAGCGTCCGAACGCGTGAACGCGTCGACGCGTCAGGGATGATCGACAGGGCTGTTAGCGTCAGCAAGGTATCTGACTCCGCGACCCCGCGTCGTAGCCTCTTCCTTCAACCTTTCCATGTTTGCCGCACGTCTCTTCTTTAGGATGTTTTGGATAAACTTGCAAAGCGCCGAGCGTTTCCCCGGTTGCTGGAAAGCCAGAAGTCATTCAACTCCGTCCTAAGCCATGGCCCGTCGTAAGCCCTGCGCCGTCACCAACCACCCTCTATCCGATCACGCCTCTTTGCACACCAGTGTTGTGTCGCAAAGAAAGAAAAGAGACGGTTAGCTCTACTGGAACCTACTATCGCGAAAGCAGCTGACAGCGTGGGTGCTTACTGGGCATGGAATGGACTAGTACGACCCCGCTGTCAGCCTCCGTCCAGATTTCCAATTCCCATGAGCTGTGATAGATGAGCAATGGTGAAGTTTGCCGTCCCCTTAAGCCCATGTATGTACCTAAAACATTGTCGAATTTGGAGTCCGTTGATATTGGCCAAGCCGGCTTGATTATAGCCACGTAACGGCTCGGCGCTCGGGTATATAGCAGAGAATTTCATCCCAAGTTTCCTTTAGTAGTCATCCAGTTGATACACTCAATTTTATCCGATCCGGTCTCTCCAGTTCCAACAGATATTCAATACACATCTTCTTCTTCCAGTACCTAGCCATCTCCTACAATGCTGGATCACATCGGCCTCAGCGTCCCAGCGTCGCGATTCGAGGAAGTCACGGCCTGGTACCTGGCCGCGCTTGCACCGCTCGGCTACAGCAAACAAATGGATTTTGGTGGGCAGGGTGTTGGCCTAGGCCCAGACAGGTTGAACACCGTTTTCTGGATTTTTGGCAAGGGCGATGCTGAAGCAGCTGCGACACACTTTGCATTTCGATGCACTGATCGAGATGCAGTTGAGAAGTTCCATCAAGAGGGGGTGAAAGCCGGTGGGAAAGACAATGGGAAGCCGGGCTTGAGACCGTATCATCCAAACTACTACGCTGCCTTTGTAGTGGATCCTGTTGGGTAAGTGTCGTCGCCAGTTGGTGGTAACTGCATTCGGCTGACAGGTCTAGAAACAATGTCGAAGTCGTGAATCACGATGTGCCGCAATAAGTTCAAGCAACAGGAGCATGTATGCGTCGACAATATCTTTAGACGTCAATGAGATTGAGCATCTGATAGGTGACCGATGTGAGGTGTAGCCGTCTCTGTACCGCCTGCCCGTTTGACTACTGCCAAGACCCGCGTTTGTTGACAGCTCCTTCTACCCAAATCTTCTTCTTGCCTTCTCAACATCGTCTCCGCACTTGCATCATGCCAAAGATGCCTAAAACAGACCGCCTGCAGGCTCTGCTCGAGTTCACCCGTGAGCACAACGAGGTCGAGCAGAATCGCGTCTCGCTCGAGACCTTCCTCGCTGATTTTCAGCAAGAGCGTGAAGAACTCGATGAGGCACAACTGAAGCAGATTCAGGCAAGCCAACGTATGCCAAGCCACCTGCCTTTGCTAACAGGCTAGCTTGCCATCTATCAAACGCTCCTGGGTCTTTTCAATACCAGTATGTATGATCATGCCTTCTGCAATGACCTCACTGAACGCAAATCAGACACTTCGGTCTCGAAGTCCACTCAAACCTCCGCAGAGACAGCGTCATGCGCGACGCAGACCGACGCGGCGACAGACTCCCTTTGGGATCTCTTGCCTAAAGCTCGCGAAGAAGCCTACCAGCGCGGCCTCGACGCTGGAAAAGACGACGGACACATCCAAGGAATCAAGGAAGGCCACAGTGCTGGTATGACAGAAGGGCTGGCTATCGGGCTCAAGCAAGGGCAAGCGGAGGGCTTGAAGACAGGGTTGGATCAGAGCAAGGAGGTCGACATGCAACGCGGCATCGAGATAGGAAGAAAACTCGGCTATGCTGATGGTCTCGCTGAGCGCCTGAGACAAACAAAGGAGAAGATGAAGAAGCTGGACGAAGAAGACACCAGCAGGCACATACCACAGGTAGAAGCGACTCGCGAGAAGATCATCGTGAAGCTACCTCCAAGTCTACCCGCCATGGTCCTCAAGGAGGAGAAGGAGGAAGAGGCTAAGCCCAAGCCCAAGCCCAAGCCTAAGCCTAAGCCCATGCCGATGATCAATGGTATCGACCCATTTGCGTCGCTTTTGGGTCTGGCACGCAAGAGGTAAATGTGCGTTTGGAGGAGATAGGAAGGAATGTATACAAAAGGAAGATACCCAATGAAGCCAGGCGAAGCACAGTCAGTATGTCTTTGATTAGGCTCAAGTTAATCTACTGCTGCTTAACATGGAACTTTGCAGACAACAACTACTTGGCAGCTAAGCCTATGACCCTACAAATACCTGAGATTCAAAAGCCGATGTTTGAAGCGTTGATCCAACAGCAACTACGCGCCTTTAGAGCGCGTCCCAGCGGAAACTTCAACGCACACGTGTCGCATGAAGTGCCACCAAGTTTACGACATTCAGTAGCTATGTCAATCAGTGGCTAGATCTAATAGGTGACAGCAACATATGATATCAGCGATTCACTTTCGCGAACTATCAGTCACATGCTCCGGGTAGTCTATAGACCACTTCATTCCACGACTATTGAGCGTTGTAGTTTCCAGAACGTATAAGAGTTATCTCACGCTCGCGCTCCCACACAGCCCACTCACTCATCTATACTAACACAACAAAAGCTCGATCAAACTCTTGCCGCAAGATGTCTAACCTCATGTGGCCTGTACACGACCAGGTCCTCGAAGGAAGCTGGGAGATAGCGCGCGAGATATTATCGCGAGTCGACTCCATCCACCAGCGCCTTAATCGAAGCCTCCATTACAGTAACGATCGCGAAGAGCGAGCCAGTATCAGAGAGAAACGGAGGACTCTTCGAACGTACGCTATCCTCTGTGAACGGACATGGGAGCTCTACGAGTGGGCCCGCAATGATGAAGGGAAGGCCGCGCGACCAGAACATCCTTGGGACACTGAACCAGCAGCGCAGTCGAAATATGCGGAGGCTTTGGGACTCACGAAGAATGAGCAGCCAATATCCCCGATGAGGGGCGTGATAGAGCTACATCAGAAGTTGCAGGAAGCCTTTGAAACAGGAGCGGGATTGTTCTATTGAAACACGCGCTCGAATGAATTGATATATTGGACAGTAATAAACACCGTCATATCTCCTTAACCCTCTCCATTAACCCCTCAACCATTGCATCCAGCTTCTGAACCACATCCCACGGCGCCTCTCCCTCCCCTGTACTAACACCCATAGCCTCGCCATACACATTCCCCCAAGCGGGATACCTTAGCATCGGACTCCTCGGATGCCAGTCTTTTCTCCATCTTCGCTCTTCGCTCTTCAATGTATTGATCCGCGCTAACAACTGATGTACTTCTACTAATGTAGGAATGTGTGCTGCGCGACCGATGGTGTATTGTTTCGAGGGGGGTGTAGCGGCTTCGGCAGCTCGCCATCGGGCTTCGATATCGAGGGTCATTCGGTGTAGGTTCAAGGCGCGGGCTGAGACGGAGTAGAGGAGGTAGTCGTGTTTGGCCCATGCGGCTTCGTCGTAGGGGATGTTTGGTGGGGGTGGGCTGAGGTAGTGTTTTACGGTCAGACGAGGGGCGGAGGCTGAGGATCGTGGTGTCTCGGCGAGGGATATGGGAGGTTGCGAGGACGAGTGTGATGTATGGGTTGCGGAGTAGGGTGCGCCATCGGATCCGCGTGGCGTGCCGGTGGCAGAGTATGGTGCTCTGTCCGAAGAGCGTGGCGTTGGAACGGGGCCCGATGATGGCAGTTCCGAGTAGCGAGAGCCGTGGAACGATGGTTTTCGCGCTGGGGTCGAGAAGTGAGAGGGTTGGTATGAGGCCTGCGAACTGTTCTTCGGCGACTCAGCTGAGCGATGAGCGGCGATCTTGGATGAGAACTTGCGCAACATGCTCTTGAGGTTGATGTCAGTGATTGGTTGACGATGGAAGTCCTACCTTGTCGAGGGGATTGTGGATATACTGACAATGATGAGCCTGGCAGGAAGGCGCCATTCACCATATCTGCCATTGACTGTGTAGGCTCATCATGCTATTCCAGGTTTTTGCATATCTGCAGTGAATTGAGTGACTTGAAGATGGGAATGTGAAGCAAAGCCTCAACGTATGCGCGGCCAAGTTAAACATTACATGTATTCTCACCACCAAACCTGGCGACATGCCAAAAGCCATTTCACTTCAACTAGGAACACCTTCGTACTCCCAACCATCGACTAATCTTCTCTTTCTTCCCCTCTTGTTCTCTCTCCGGTTTGCTGCACACTTGATGAAAAAGGTAAGCACAGCTAGCAGGAAGATAATTACAGCCGCAACTGTCGGCACAACGACAATACGCGTACGGTTGGTGTCAGTAGTAGGAAGATATGGACACGTCGCATTGAGACCAATGACCCAGCAATCCGGCACACTCAGACTGTTCATGTTGATATACAGCGCATCTTCATCAGGAGCGGCAGCTTGCCAGGCAGAATAAAGATGTGAGTTTTCCAGCGCGGTGTGAGGTACGCTGAACTGATATGGGTCCCGACAATAGCCCTCAGCGTTCGCGTAGTAGGTTGAGTCGTCCGATACACGCCAATTGTAGGGTTGTCGTGGATCGTGGCAGGCCACGCGATGGCGTTGGTTGCAGTCTTCTATGCGCCAGCGCTGTGGATATGGCGACTTCATCATGACGACGCAGCGGTTGTCGTTTGTGTCGTCGCCTTCTCCAGAGGAATTGAGAGGCTGCCCAGGTGCGAAGGTCCATAATGTTGAGTGTACGTATGCGGCGTAGGGTAAAGGATTCTTGTCTGCAGTTGTGTTTGCGAGGGTTTGATTGAGGAAGGGTGTGATGCCGCAGGCGGTAAGATTGGTAATGGAAGGTATAGTTGACTGAAAGTCCGGCGTCGCGCTAACATCAAGTGACGGTGCATCAGCGAGAGCCCAAGACGAGTTTCTTGTTGAAGTCAAGGTGTTGTCGGAAGACGCAAACAAGCATCCAGAAGTTACACGCCCATCGGAGCCAATCGATACTGACTGCTCGTCGATGATAGTTCCGGGAGGGAAAACGTATTCGAGATCTGGTCCGAAGTTGTACTTGTCCATTTGCGGATCGATTGTGCCGTAACTAACGACAACCCGACGTAGCTGCTTGAACTCCATGAAAGCTTCTGTAGGCCATCCACTTTGTGTGAACAGCTGTCCATCGGCATTTTTGGAGTCATCGTAGTAACCAATCAATGGGCGGTTGGACCAATCAACGTCATACCACGAGCTGTTTAAGTTTGCGCGTTGGTCATCCAACGCGTTTGGCGTAAGGGTGTTATCGGAAAGATTACCCTGCAACACATCACTAAGGAGTTGCCCGTCTTCAGGAAGCTGGTCTTGCGCAAGGTTCGGTGCTGGGGCGTCCGGATCGGTGATGGACGAGGCAGCATGCACGTTGAACGTGAACATGGTTATCTCAGCATCAGTCGTAGTAGCTGTAATCTCGAGAAAGTCCTCTACGATACCCGTGAGCAAATCCAGCGTCATCAGAGATGTACAATTGTAGCTCCCGATTTGCAGGAGCGGTGGTCCATTAGGGGTGGGGAAGTCGATTATGGTCGGCGTTGCTGCACTCGTCGACGATGTAGAAGACGAAGATGGGGTAGATGATACCGTGTTTGTTGAGCCCGATGATGACTCTGCAGACACAAGAGCCGATGTCAACGTCTCCTGGCGTTTTCCAAGCTGTGGAGGAATTTCCAGTGTAGATAGAGGAGTATCCGCACTCAATCTGTTAGTTGTAGGCACCACTGTTGGTCCCGTCGCCACTGGTAAAGCACCCTCATCTGAGCTGTCTTCATTCGACTGGGGTAACTCCACTGGACATAGACTCCATACTGAACGTAGCGGATCCCAGTAAGTATCGACTGTGAATTGTCGAAAGCCGACAGCTAACAAGTTTGAGAAGCACTTTTGGAAAGCATTATGTTCGTACTGGTTATTCGTGAAGCAGGCTTGAGCTAACGATACAGCTGGCGTAGTATGGAAGTTGATGGGAAGTTGAAGCCCTACATCTCGTTGTGCCTACCATCAGTCAGCGATTCTGTTCGCTGATACTGCGTATGTCGAGCATGAGCCGACGGATCTGGAATGGTGCCACGAAGACCGCGCATGGACGTGTGATGGAACACAACCCCAACACCGTGCGACTACTTCACTGATGACTGCACGGAGTGCAGATAGCTGACACTTACTCTAAATGCCTCAGTCCAGGGCTCTATCCAACGCGTGTTCACAGCGCTCTGATCCGGGTTATACAACTTGTTAGCCGACATTCCCGCTGGCGAACCCGGGGACCAGCACCGTAAACACGTGGCTCACACCTCGCGTGCAACGGAAGGGATGGACGACACCCGTAAGCAGGGAACGCGATAAGATATGTTTAGAAACAGGATACAACGTGGAGTGTTCGTATATGCAGATGCAGGTGTTGATGGGTAGGATGTCGTTGGGATCTGCAGGGCTGGATGCGCGACCGCGACGGACCAACGGCATCACGTGGCAGCCCGCTAATTTTCCCACCAATCCCCTTCCGGCTAAAACTCAGCTGGCCAATGATGACGATTCGCATCGTCAAACTCACCGTTCAAAACACCAAGACTGCAATTTGCCAGCGACGATTCCAGCAAAACGTCCGGTGGCTTGCATCACGATTAAGCACCGGGTCGTCTGCAGAACGAGTGGGGGATATGGGGTATCACTGTTTACCCTTGATATAGTCCAGGTGTTCCGCATATTGTTCCCGAAGATTAGAGAAGGATGAGTACAAGCCTCGCACATACGCTTAATACGGGCGTTATAGCTAGGCTTACACAATACCGAACCCGCGTTGCTGGCAACTCGCTACCTACCGCCTGTAAGCGAGAGCTCGTGTCTCACTGTTCTGTACGACCTTGATCGACGTCCGAAAAAATGTTGAAAGAGCTTGCCGGCTGGATGATATGCAGGTCTGCGGCGCGAGGGAAAGCGGACAATGCATTGGGAGCGCATGGAAGGTTGCGAAAGCTTGCCCCAGGTCACTGGGAGTAATGCAGGTATGCGGCGCACGCTGACGCTTACAGCACGGATTGCCACGAGTACATTAAACGGGAGAAAAAGGGCCGCTGCAGGAGATGATGAGGTACTGCTATTACGACCCAGTTTTACACGGGATGTCTCCTGGCTGCGGATGCAACGTTGCTGTTGTGGTAAAAGGTCCGCTAGCTGTAGGCGATCCAAGCAACGTTGCCCACGGTAAAGCCGAGAGAGTCGGAGCGGTCACTCCGGAAAATTTCTGCACCTTTGCAAATGAGGTGAACGAATAAACGAATAGAAGGCTCCAGGCATGGGGGTCTTGGAGGAATGTAACGCAGGCCGCTGATGCGGCAGGTGCACTTCTGCCTCCTGACAGGATGGAGAAGCAAGTTGCAAGCAAGTCTGAGATAGCGACACCTGCGAACTCTGTGTTTGGCATAGCAAGATGGTATCGTTGCATCGAGAGGCCTCCATTTGGAAAGTGCGTACACTGCCACAGGAGGCGGCGATCATTCCGCAGTGTCAACACATTCGTTCGCAGTCGCCGAAGCCGAAACCGAAGCAAGCCCCAGTATCGGCAAAAGCAGAAACCACGGCTCCAGCTGTTGCAACAGTTCCGCACGTCCGCGGGGATATCCACAGTTGTTTGACGTCTAACGTCTTCACTGCGTATGCACACAAACAAACGAAGTTTCGCCTGGACCCAGTGACTCCACAAGACTGTTGACGCAACCGCTTCCCGTGCGCGTTTCACCGAGGCCATCAGAAGGTAACCGAGCGTGCCGAGCAGCTCGAAGTCTGGTTACGAGGGTCTTGGTCTGACACCCGTCCGACTGACTCTGACAGTCCTGCATACCCCTACATATGTAGTGCAGTTGTGAAAGCGACGCGTTTCGTGCATAACTACTACCTCAAAGCTGGACATGCGATCCTGGACATAGGAAAAGGTTTCACCATCTAAGCTGCATGCACATGTCATAAGTTCGACCGGTTGGTAGCCCCGCCACGAGCCACAGACTTGAGGCGGAGGAGGTCCGGCACGATCTACGCTAGAGGACGACGTTGTGATGCTTGTGCAGATCGAAGGGATCACGACATTCACACGCAGGAACCTACCGTCAGAAGGGCCTCATCGAGTCCCCTGATGATGTTGTTCGTAAAAAGAAACATGCTCAAGACCGAGTTACGCCGGACTATCGTAACCGTACCGTTCAACGTTCAACGGTAAATGGGGATGTGCATGCGTCTACTCGCCCCCGAACAGAAGCGAATCCGATGTCCCACAATACCACCGTCCCTGGTACCGATGAAGTCGCATTGTGACATGTATGGGCCTGAACCAAAGCCGATGGATCGCGGACCCGAGGGAGTGGAAACTGAAATACTCCCTCTCGAGGACGGCGACCTTCCACCAACGGCTCAGCGACGGCGTTGTCTTTAGCATCACAGGGAAGGGCGGTAGACTATGGGATTGAACGGCGACATCCTCTCGACGGCGCCCACCCGGTACCAAAGTTCGAAAGACGCTATCGATTAGACCTTCTGTGTCCGCATTAGGGTACCAGAGTTTGAGCTATGCCATATGCACAAATTGCCCGTGTCTTTCCAACGCTCCTTGCACCATTGCGGACATGGAGATATACGCTAGTCGCAAATCTCGCGAGCCGTCGCGCACTAGAGCGTAGATCAAAGTCTAATAGCCGTAAACGGTAAGGCCACCAGTAGCCGCATGATCGAAGTCCCAGTGTCTTGTTTTCAGTGTTTTTCTAATCGCCGACCCTGGGTGTAGTGGCATTGGCTGATTGGAACGTTGACGTGGACGGCCCAACGATCATACCGAGGACGTTGAATCGTGAATTGCAAAAGATGCGATTCGCTCGGATGTACGGTGGTAGAGGGCCAGAGCGACCGTACCGCACCGGGCGGGATTGAGTGTATGATTCGTGAACACAGCTAGAGCGAGGAGATCACGGTGGGCGTATCTGTGCGTACAAACTGGAGGTGCGTGGACAGTTCGTAATTTCCACAGCTGCAAAGTAAGTGTGGCATGGGGAAGTCTTCCGAAACTATTGCCCGCGTCACGGATTGCTATCGTGGTATACGTCCATCCCAGGGAATCCCTGGGGACATGTTTCCAGAAGTGCCGAAGCCCATCTTCATGTCGCAGGTATCACGGGTGACAGATTCTTGCTCAGCGGTCCAGAGCCCCACCTCGGCCACTATTGGTGGCAGTGTTAGGAAAAGGAGCGACCAATCAGTCAATTTAGAAGAAGTTATTGTTCGTCAGCTGTGTGGGTCCAGTCCAATAAGGAGACGGTGTAGGCGACACTGCAGAAGCTGCGACGGGTACGACTGCGTGGACTGATCGGGATCGCGGCGAGATCGCTCCATGCGTACGTTGAGGTGTGGAGAGGGGTTTTCAGCATGGTGGCTATCGCGGACGATTGTGAGTATCTGTCACGAGTGGGTACCACAAGCAGTCGAGATGTCATTGGAGCGGTGAGCTCTCGCCTGGAAGCGTTTAGAAACCTGGAACTTAGTGTTCGGCGATCGTTGTTCAGTGTGGGAACTCCTTGTTGTACCCCGTCAGGCGTTCAAGTGAGGGAACTTGGTACTGGGAGTCACTAAGGGATCGTGTGATGATTGAAGTTTGTTCACAAGGTCATAATTTGTTATAGTGTATTGTTTTTGATTGGCATCGGTGTAGACGCTTGCAAGTGCTGTCGCACCGCTGGGTATTATTACTGGCGACTAATTGTCGCAGTGTACAGTGAGACCTCCCTGGGTCCAAATGGAGAAACGCCGTAGTGTGTCGGACTTCGACATAGGCGATGCTACTTGGCTCCGACAAGCCAGAATAGAAACAGAAATGATGTGCCTCCCAACCGTGACACATGAACAGAGATGCTACATGGGGTATCCTGAGAGTCGTGTACAATGTTTCCCTTTTTAGGTGCATGCAAAACAAGAGTAGACAAGGTTGAAAAGCTTTGTAACAAGCAAAGTGTCGATCATTGAACATCGGCCATTAATAGAAGTAGGTTGTTTGAAACATGCGACGTATAGACAAGAAGGGGTATGGTGAACAACGTGAAACATGATAGACAGCTACATGATGTTTCGCAGCGACATCCTGTCCTTTGGTGAGACTGGCGCACTTCTGACTTCCGCTGGAACAGAGGGCAGCACGTAGGGTGACGGTAGTTGTCGCGCAGCTGGACTGGTGCTTGCGCTCGAGGACTGAGGGACCGAAAGTGTCGGCTCTGCGAGCGAATGGAAAGGAGGCAACGCTCGTTGGGGCACGCTAGTCGGTGCAGACTGAGGCATAGAGTGGTGGTGTGTGAGCTGAGGGGTAGGCTGGGTGAGCAGTCGCGGTGGTTGTGGTCTCTCGTAGTTGGGCTCCCGGAAGGCAGGCGCAGGCTTGGGTACAGAGGCTTCACTGCGGTGGAGTGGCGGGAGTTGTAGTGAGCCGC